TTACCCCGAGTGTCTTTTGAGCATTGTAGTAAGCTAAGTTTAATTTAAAGATACTTGAGGGTTAGCTGGAATATAAACCATGATTAATCCCCTTAAAACACTACAAGCTCAAGCTTGTATATCCCCTCTTCTCTCATGGATTAATTGAGGCATGGATTAATTGAGGTATAAAATTGAGCACAACTTAAACCTAATGAACTTCGACGTGATCTATTCAACATCATACTAAGTTCAAGTGAACTCGAAATGGTTCAAAGGATCCTTAAAAGTTGTTTAGGGTTGTGCCTCGAACACTTTTATAATCTTTTGGATATTTTGAAAGAACAATTAAACTTATTATGCTTTGTTCAAGAAAATCATTTTTGAAACCTTTAGGGACCTGCCAAGTTATGAATTGTGGTCTCTTTTAAACTTAAACCATTAAGGCTTCAATACTACTTTTTCATGTATAACTTGTTTTTACTTTACAATATATACATGATTATGAAAGCTAACATTTCAGCGGAAGCAACGAGAATATGACAGGCACGCATTTACAGTTTATTTATTGGCATTTTACTTATGTAATTTACTACTGCTTTAATGTGTTATGCATGCTTGGTCGGAACACTTTTCAAAAGTTTAAACAACATTTTTCAAAATTAAGATAAACATTTTTCAAAATTAAAATTAAACTTAAACATTTTCAAAGCAACAAACCAACATAATACGTTCTTTTGAATTTACTAGAGTCCCTCAAATGAGGTAACCTACGGTTGCTAATGAGATCTTCCTCGTTTAAATGAACTTAACAACTTATTTAGACTAAGTGAATTCAAAATAAGATATTGGTACCAGAATAAGGGAATCGTGAGATCCTAATCAGTGTCGTTCTAATTAAATTTAACCCCCCATAACATTTGAATAATAACCAAACTTGTCACGAAAACTGTAAAACCTTAAACCTTGAACTTGGAGTTGTCACTTCAACGAGGAGCTGGAGCTAACACCGTGGGAAGCACGACAAGAATGTACAACTTTGAGGGAGAAAGCAGATCTACAACAACAAATCTTTCTAGAATTAAATAACAAGCCATAGGACTTCGAGGTAGCCTGTCTAGTATGACATAAATCCTCAACTTATCTTTAGGCATTTCTACAATCATGTTGTGAAATTTAGGTCCTAACTCGTTTTAGGCTCTAAGGTTGTCATTCGTTACGACATAAACCCTCATATCTTCCAGACTATTTGTATAATTGTGTCATGCAAGTGTAAGCCCTTAATAATAAAATTAGCATGATGAAACATCAAGTAATCTTTTTCTCAAAATTGAAGCTAAACAGTAAGATAGTTTGAGAAGTGACGTCTTCTACTTCTCATTCCTTTGGATTCCTAAAAAACACTGTTCCTATTTGATCTATCCCTTTTGAATCTCCAATGTCCAATCTTGAAAACTTAAGCTTTGAAATTCTAGAAGGCAAAACCATTAATCTGAATCGAGAGTATTCTTAAACGATTTCGATCAGGTGATTTCGGTCATTTAAGATGTAATTAACTATATGAGTTTGTCTCTATAGAGAGCTTTAGAACCCAACTTAATATAAACTCTATTTAATCTTCTATATTAAATAGGGGAACTTGTCGGTTAACATAAAAATGTTTCGTAGACCAAAACGGATGTCATAAATTTTATAGTTTATTTAATCGAATCTTACTATCAAGTAATGCGTCTATTCCTCGGGATATATACATCACTTGCAGTGTTGTGCTCGTTTATTTAAACTATTGTATATATGAGATCGATTTTGTTTCGTATTTTCAAAATCAAAACATTGTTTTCAAAATAAAAAAAATATTACTTTTCTAAAATCAAATATATATAAAAAAATTACAAAAAATAAAAATTTGTAATACTCACCACACCTAGCTTATTGACAAATTATTTTTAATCAGCTTATCAACGGATTATTCAATAAGCTGCAGCTGCCCCAAACAGACCCTTAATTAAACTTTAAACCTTACTTACATTATGCTTAAATCAACTTAAACTTTAGTTAAGTCTAACCCTAATTAAACTTAATTAAACTTTAAGCCTTACTTACATTATGCTTAAATCAACTTAAACCTTAGTTAAGTCTAACCCTAATTAGAATTAATTAAACTTTAAGCCTTATTTACATTAGGCTTAAATCAACTCCTTTCTGATTGAATAAAATAAATAAACTGAGTGACGACTTCTTTCTGACAACGAATTGGCGGCGGCGACGACGTTCTGGCGACGCAAAGAGAGCGGCGACTTCACTGGGGATGCAACTCTCCCCATCACTGGTTAATCCATTTGTTTTATATCCTGAGATGTTCCATCTTTAACAGATTGGATTATCTCTCCCTCAAAATTATATTTTATCTGGTAAAAAATTAACTCTTTAATTCTAAGAGTTCTGCGTAACAAGAAAAACTCAAAATCTTACATTTTAATAATGACAATACAAAATGACACAAAAATAACAAGTCTAAAATAAATTTGATTTACAGAACCACTGCAATTGATCCCCAGAAGTTGATCTTTTCTTACTGTCAATATTTTGATCTACCGACTGATCATACTACTCGCTACCAAAAGTCACTAATCAAATTCAGATATGGATTTGATGAAGTTGAACTAGTGCTTCGTGGCCCACCACATGCTATAACAAAGACAACTGCTTCAGAAGTCATAAAACCTTTTAAAGCATTTAATTTGGATTCTGATGAAGACTTTCCTCCTCTTAATTAACCCTCTTTGAACAACTTCTGCAGAACAAACCATTAAAAAGAGGGAAGAAGTTGATTGGAAAGGATAGAAGATCTACGTCGACCAGGAGGATGATGTTCCACCACCATTTGTGTGTGAAATTGGATCTAGTTCCAATACCGGACGATGGCGCACACTCAACGAAGAAACAAAAATCGTTCTACTATGAAGGAAAAGAAGAAAAATGAAATGAAAACCGCTAAACCCGAGGAGAGTATCTTTGGTGGTGCTATCCTAAAAGAAAATAAGTTCTTTTCAATATCCACTGAAGACGATTAAAGCAGCTTCCAGTGTGTTCCCACTAGTACTCCTCCATCCTCTCCTTCAAAAAGGGAAAGGTCTTTGTCAATCCAAGTAATATATTCTGTATTCAAAAGACTTGCGCGAAAAGAAAAATGTACAATTTCCCAACTTTTAAACAAGACGGGATGTGCAATTTCTGCAACAATGAAAAGAAGACTTCTTGCAGAAGAAAATTTCGTCTGACAGAAAATTGATGCCAAGTCTCCTCTGAAGAGTCAACAGACTACAACAACTCGAGTGCCAGCTAAACTTTGTCTAGGACCGAGGATAACAGATTCAATCATTTCAAAAACAAGACATCGTCCATCTTCTTTACCAACACATACCAAACTACTTATAAAAGCAGAATAGATGTCTGCTAAAATGAAATCACTCGTGCAAATGTTAAGGGTTGGAGATCGTTCTTACCCACAACATGATGATATGCTTCCAAAAGTGCCTCGTCCCATACTTAGAAATAACGCGTGGAAATGTAAGCTGTCGGAAGAAATCTCCGATGTTGTGGGTATGCAAAATACCACCTCCATAAGCAATCATCAAGAAAAAGATCTATGAAAAATATCCTATTAACTCGATTGAAGAAAAACTAAAACAATTAAGAGCAAATCTTAAACAATTATCAGCAGAAAGAAAAGAAAATTCTCCCAATAGCCCAAATAAAATGTCCTTATAAATAAATATGGTAGAAACACGAGCTACCTCATCTGCATGAGAGGTACCGTTACTAATTGAAGAAGAAATGACAGAGGAATTGCAAAAAACTATACAACAAAGAGATGAGCATATTACTCTCCTCGAAGCAAAATTAATGAAATGATGAACGCTTTAGCAACTTTTCAAAGCTCACCACAAACAAAACCAAATTGTTCAACCTGAGGTAATACATATTCTTGAAAGTAAATGAGAATCAACATAAATTGAAGAAAGTACTCAAAAGAAAAAGGATTCCACCCAAAAATGGAATTCTAGAAAAAGAAATCAACCAATTAGTGGAACAAAAGATAAAAGAAACAATGGCCTAGGTAAAGGTTGGATCACTACTTCCAAAAGGTAGACCATATCCAGAGGAATTTGATTATGTCCAATATCCTAAAGGCTTTGTTCCACCTCTCTTCAAAATGCTTGACGGGACTGGTAACTCTCGTCAGCATCTTGCACACTTTGGATCAAACTGCTGCAACACATGCGAAGTGATGCTCTCTTATTCCCAATTCGTTAAAATCCATACAGGGGTTGCTTTCGATTTCTATGTAGAGCTTCCTAACGAGTCCGTTAAAAGTATTGTGGAACAACATCATTAAGAATATCTTGAAAGGTTACTTGTAAATTTCAGCAACTAATATATCTTCAAATAATTAAAAGTGCATGACATTGCTTTTGTATGCTAAATTTTTTGACAGCAGCAATCTCCTCTTCCACCACCATAACATCCATTGTAAAACAACTGCACCTATCGAACCACTAGCTCTAACATCTTGAATCTATGAAAGGGTAAGATTTGTTAACTTCTTCCAACTTGACCACCATGGTCAAGAGAAACAATCGAACTGACGGTGAGCCTTAACATTTAAAGCTTCTGTAATTACATAATAAATAAAGAACTTCAAGTTTCTAGAGAGCCCTTGCCATTTTTAAGAAGCTACAAGCACCTAAATAAATGTAACAAGCCATGAGCTCCAACACCTTTCTATTGAAGCAATACAAATAATAATGAGTGATCTCATTCATAAAGTCCTCTCCCTCCCTCCCTCTCCCTCCCTCTCCCTAACATATGTACTTCGAACTTTAACATATGTATTTTTTGTCAAAATTATTCATAATTCAATCATTAAAACCAAGGTCAAAACTGCTCCATTCCATGGGTACATTACACTAAAAGATTGAGCTTTATAATTTCATATTAGATGCATTTAGACACCAAATTCTTAATCAGTTTATAAAACTATAATTATAAAATATAGACAATCCATCTAAAAAAGTTGAAAATACATCTGGCTCGCAAAAATCCTCACCTTCAGCTCTCCAGGTATTTGCTGCAGTTTGAGAATATAAATTTGCAATAGCACTATTCCTCAATACTAAACATGCATTACGATTTGTAGGTGCTGTGCTTTGCCACCCCAGGAGAAAATAAATGACACAAGAATTACAGTAGCCATCAGCCATGTTACTCAGCATCCCACCCCTCCAAAATGATCTAATAGAATCAACACTTACTTTTTTCTTTGAAGAAATTTATCAAATCCAAATACTATTGAATGCCTCTTCGAGCGATCTTTTCCTACTCAAGTCCGCAGTCCATCCTCCGGCTCTCGCTGCTATCTCTGCCCTCATCTTCATCCCTTCCTCATCCTCAGTAGAATAAGAATGGGGGTGATTACTTGGACCACCAATTGGTACAGGCTGAGGAACCATGCCTGTCGGCCGCGGTTGCAAGAGCGCAGCGCCAGGTAGAGCAGTTGGGGCATACAGCCCTTGCGAGCCAGCAATGGTTGTTTGTGAGCTCAATCCAGCACTCTGAAATGCATTCAAAATATTAGAACTTCACAATATAATTGCAATAAACTTATGCATTCTAATCAAAGTGTATGATCCAGTAAGAAAAATTTGGATCTGTGATGTGCTAACTTTGTGCTTTGGCATGCTTTAGCTGAATATGCAAACTAGATAAATGAGGCCTAAATCGAGGTGAAGAAATCGCTAGGTCGAGGAATCGAGGAAGCAACTACAAAGCTGCAAACACCTAAAAAGTTAAATTTGGTATCTAAGAAAATGGCATGGACATTAATTTTTAAAATAATTAAGATTTGAATGGTATGTATGCCCCTAAAATTGAAAAAAATTGAAATTGTGGATTATTCAAGATAAATGAACGATTACTATTTTAAGAAATTATTTTTGAAAGAAAACTTAATAATAAGATATTTAATTAAATTTATTTTGTAAAAAATAAAATTATATAAAGAAAAATGTTTTAACGTATAGTATATACAAAAAAGAGAAGACACGTACAGTCAGTCAATTAAAAAGTATCAAATTTTGCAGCACAGATAATGAGTTAATTGTAGAGGGTGATTTGAGAGAGCAAGCGAGCCACATGAGGCCAAGCAAAACACAAAGTTACTTCAGGATAAAAATAAAAGCAAACTTTAGAAGCACTTCCTCTTATTCATCTTTCACTCTCTTTTAAGGTAAAACTTTAAGTTAATTTCCCTTTTTTTTAAATGTTTTTATCATGAATTTGATACCCTACATTCTAACTCATGCATGAAAAAAATAATTGCTTTCGATTGGCATCAATCGTTTGCTAATACACTTTCCAGAAATTTATTTGTTCTTAATAATTTAAAAAGAAATATCTGAAATTCTAGATATGTTTTTATGGTTTTTTTTTTTAAATGCATAGAGAAAACATGAACTTGAAATTCTATAATAAGGTTTAGAAATATTTTTTGAATCAATTTAAAATAAGATAGAAGTATAAATCGAAAATTTAACTAAAATAAATATTATTAAATAGTTGAATCTGAAATAAGATAGTTCTTATTAAAGGATCAATAAAAGCTAAATAATCATATTTACATAAAATTGGAAATAAATAAATTTTTTTTCGAGTATAAATTAGGATGATAAATTTAAGAATTGAAAATTAGTCACACTAACCATTGGTCAAATAATATATTTAATTAAAAATTATTCTTAAGAAACAAGAATGGGAAGGAATATAAGAAATTAAGAAATTTCACAGATGAAAGAAAAATACTATGATCCTTTCTATAGTTTAACAAAGACGTTTGCATTAGATTAAAAGAGAATTATTATTAAAAAAGACATCAATGATTTAAAAGTAAATAAACTTTTAAAATAATTTATTTAGAACATATAATTCGCTTAATAAAGATGAAGTTCAAGTAGTTTCTAGTAATGAGAAACAACTTGTAGTGAAAATTTCTTATAAAACTATATACATGTGAAATATATGGCATGTGAAATACATTGAGTGCAATATATGGCATAAAATAATTTTAATTCGATCTTAAGTAACTGAGAATTTTATGCTCTATTAAGTGTATCCATGATTCACAACTGAAGAAGATCAAGCCATTCGGGCTTCATGTGTAACCATAAAATAACTGCATAAATTGGCGATGCTCTACCCAAACTGAGGTTCCGCATTTTAACCATTATTTTTGTGGTATTATTTAATGGAAAAACATGGTATTAAGATGCATGCTACGTCTTTCCTGGGATGAGATATTTTGGGAGTGATTATAAAGGTATGCTTAATAAAACACCAACTCTTTATGATTATCTTAAATCAATATTTAAAATTGCACAATTAGAAGTGTGCCTCTGCGCAACTGAAATAATTTTTGAATCAAGGCATACACCTCGTTCGGATAGCTCGAGGCTTACGCCTCAAAATTGTCGAGGTGGGCAATTAGACATGTTTAGCCTAAAAAATGACGAGGCGATCGTCTCGTATTTGAGTTAAGTATTTAAAGTTTTCTACTCTTGAACCTATAAGCTCGTCTCCCACATCCTCTCTCATCGTTCTCACGAACCAGACGATGCCTCCAGCAACAATGGAAGACACCTGCTCTGCCATTCGAACCCATAAGATCCTGTCACCCACAATCTCCTGCCTCCTGTTTCGCTCTCATGCATCAAACGGCGCAACCGATGCAAACATCGACGCCGCCTGGTCCTCCAGTCATCGGCGTCACCTTAGCCACCTGTTGCTACTTGGTTCCAACCCACACACGGTCTCTATTTGGTTTGATTCAGTATTGTGCTCCCACAGTCCCACTTACTACGTTTCCCAGTTAAATAAATGAATTTTTGGAAGATTTACATACAGATAACTGAAATAACTGAATAATTATATTTCACAATGATTAATTATTTATTTATTTCAACTTATTCTATACATACTATTGAATTCTTATGTATTTACATCTACTATCTAGACTTAAATTTTTACATACATACCACCTTACCAATGCAAGAAAAGATGTAATTTATTTTTTAAAAGTTAAAATTGTAGTAACTTTGATGTGATATGAAAGTATTGGGTGTTATAAACGTAAAAATCAAGTTTTGTTCAAAGTTTTGTAATGTTGTATGTAAATGCCCCTTGCCCAAAATGTTTTGATCAAAGTTTAGGTGTTAGATATGCATACACATTGGAATTGACTATTGAGATGAATGATTTAATCAAAAGTTATCACTTCTTATTATGTTAAGATGTTAATATATTTTCCTTTCATATATTTATAAATAATGATGATATTATATATTTTTTATTTTTATATTTTGACTATGCAATGTTTAAATTGAGGCTCACACCTTAGACCGCCTCAAGACTTATATCTTGCGTCCCGAACAGAAAGCACTGCAATACCTAATTGCGCAATTTTAAACATTGTCTTAAATTTATCTCTAGAAAAAAACTAATACGGGGGCTGGATAAATATTCGATCTTAGCTTTAAATAGAAAATTTCACTTAATATTTTGAATTTCAAAATTTTATATTTTTTTCAGTAGATCTTAAGGGCATTTTGATGGCATAATTACCTTAGGTCAATAATCTGTCATAGTTATCATTATTATGGTATTTAAATTATTAAACTTTGTCGTTTGAACCTTGTCTATTCTGCATGCTTATTAGCAGATGATTAGTTTCATAAATTGTATTAATTAAGTTTTTTTACACATTCTTTATGTTTAGGTGCCATCGACTTTGCTCGTGTTAATATAGAATCATGTCTCTAGATTGGCTTTTGCTTTGTAAACATACCCACAAGATTAAGCATGAAATCATTATTTTATCACAATTTGTATGTATGATAATTCATTGTTTGAATACATTTTGTAAGGCCCTAGCTTGTAGACCACCAAAGGTTAAAAAATTGGTTGAGGCAAGTGCCTCAAGGATTGTCCCAATTCGAGGCATTATAAGATAGCCTTGAGTCAATATGTGAGACATATGCCTTTTTAAACCTCAAGGAGTCTGAGGAATGCCTCATTTCTTACACTAATATTACACTTACCATCCATGATAGACACAAAAAACGACCTACCATCCACAAAAAACACAATGAATGACACAAGTTAAGGTTTGTTCTTAAGCATCGTCCCGAGTGCAGCACTTCGTTGCTTCGAGCTTCGACGAGCACAACATTCCCATCATCCATTTGAGCATCATCTTGAACCCGTTCGACGTCATCATGACCTTTTCGAAAATCGTCCCTAGCCAGTTGGAGCATAATCACGAGCCCGTTTGAGCGTCATCCTAACCTGTTGGAGCGTCCCTGCTTTAGTTACATTCCTTTGTAGAACGTTGAAGTTTAGTTTCCTATAGCGCTTCTGAAGCATCACTATCGAGCATCCCGACGGAGCATCACCATCGTCTTTTTTCCATATATGAGCTATAATCTTTCATGATATTCCCGTGAACTTTTCGTTAATATATACAGCTATCATTATGTCTCATATCATTTTAAAAAATTATATTTATATTTTTGTATCAATAACTAAATTTATTAAACTATAAATTAAATTTTAAACGACCATGAATCTTATTTTTAGATCGAGTTGTGATTTGTCATATTTATGAATTGTGTTTTATTTTATGAGTTGTTAATTCTTCTATTTTGAGGCTTAAACCTTGACCTGCCTTGAGGCTCATATCTTGCCTCAATAAGAAAATGCCACTCAAGTCCTACTTTCGCCTTTTAAAACATTGTCTACCACAAATTTAGGATGTGGAAGATCGAACATTAAAAGTAGGACTTACAGCCCTATTATATAGGTAAACATGTTAAATATTTACATATCTTTTAAAATATTTGCAGGTTTTTGGAGTAAGAGCAATTCAGATTCATTTTATGCTAATTAATGCAATACTTTCAGATTTTAAATTCAAGCATTTAGCTTAAACATTGGCGCATATGCAAAGGTATTAATATTTAACAATTTGACGTTTGTTTTGAAATGAGTGAATGACTTTCAGTATTTCGCAAAATTTTAAATGTATTCATGGACAGATTTACATAATCTTTTACCATGTAAATGATGCATTTGTCTGCCTTTTAGTGCACTTAAATGATGCATTGTATGCTTTTTGGTATATTTGCATAGTTATAAGACTAGATTGGATACAATAGATAATTTGAGACTAACATGCCTGTAACGAATAGGTTTGGGATAATTTAAGACATTTTCTCTTATATATAATAACCTAACAAAGAGATTATTTACATAACTAAAAACAAAAACTTACCAAGTCAGCAGTCTCCATCTGTACAGGTCCTTTACTTGCCTTTAGTGCAGCTGCTAATTCTTCTGCCTGTGCTAGAGAGAAAAGCACAATAAGAGAATACCTCAACAAAAGAAAAATAACTATTTATTAACATTCCTTACGAAAAAAACAAATGATGGTGCAAAACTAGTAAGAACGGCACGGAATGAAAATATTTTCAGCATACAAATTATAAAAAAGCATCATAAGAACTTAATAAGTAATACCTTACGAGCCCGGGCAATGATAATCTGCTCAGCATTCTCTTCTTGATATTTAGCAATATTAGCTTCAATTGCATCAACATCTATTCCTTCTATTAAATTGAAAGCTAAGAAAGGAGCAATTTGAAATTACCACGCAAGACAAAATTAAGCGCATGAAAACGAGAGATCTAGCTGAAAAAATACTGACTCATATCTTCCACTTCTTCCAAATAGTCATTGTACTCTTTTAGGGATGTAAAATCATCTTCCCTTTTATTGAATCTGTAGAAATATAAAAGAAAAATAATGCGTGTAAAAGAGACTTTGCAACGAGAGAGTTACTGATTTAATAGTGTATTGTCTTGGAAGATATTCCTTATGGAACGATGTATCTGATGGGCTACAGAAAAAATGGGTTTCATATCAAGAAAGCTTAGAAAGAAAACATTATCTGTGATAAACCAGCTTGCTATGACAATCATACATCAAGGCAAAACAACTTAAAAACACAAATAAGCATGCACATCAAATTAAATTTAGGACAAAAATGAAATTTAAGAGAGATCAACAAGTTTGACAAAAAGCTAGTTAGCCTTCCAACTTGACTCAATACCCAAATGCAGAACACCCATTGAAATGAGAAGAAAGGAAAAAAAAAAATTGAAGGTCAAAATAGGCAACTAGGTTAAAAAAAAAAAGCATATAAAAAAACAATTTTAACAAATGGATTTCTATGTTGCTCTTAGTTGATTCAAACGTTTAATTCTTTCAGGGCCATAATCCCAGTGGCTCATCAATAAAATAAAACTTATAAAAAAAAAAAAAATTTGTTGCAACATGACATTACTTATTTTTATATTCCGATGTTCATATCAAGCTATTTGCCATCAAATGCGAATTTCAACTTCATCTCCAGGTTATTTATTCAGTGTTGATAAGAGAACTAATATGCTGATATGTTCCTTCAAATTTTTATAGCATGTACATATTATGATTAACACTTAAAAGTAAAATGACGTTCAGTGCCCTACATGATTTTATGAAGTTAAATGACAACAAAAATGTCATACCCAACAATGGACCATTCTGAAACATGAACCACACTTCCCTTAGCTCGATAACTAGGCCTCACTTAAAAAGATCATAAGAATTAGAAACTAAACTGATCAAACTGAATGTAGTCTATTCAACCGGTTTAATTTTAATTGGCGTAGCTTTGGTTGGTGAAGGCTTTATATGCTTTTTTTTTTTTAACTTGATTCAAAAAATACTGGAAACAATTTGAAAAGTCACTACCAAATCAAATAATATGGAATGATAGGGTTGTACACAGTCACAGACAACAATTTCTCCAATCTTCTAATTTCTTATTAGAAACCATCATGACAAGCTAGCACAATGGCAAAGAAATTATTTCTCCAAAAGTTTATTCATGCAAAAGGACTATGATTAGGAATGCTATTATAAGAAAACAACAAAACTAGAATGTGTTATCTTTAAAAAACACTAAATTCGAAAATATCTTTTTGTAGGGTTTTATAACCATATAATTGAATATACTTGCCACATATTTTCATACTTTTGTACTTCACTTGTATGTATGTATGTATGTATGTATGTGTATGTATATGGTCCTCTCATTTAAATCAATAATAAATGTGAAGTTTCTCTCAAAAACTCCTGCAACTTCAAACCATTCATCCTACTTCAATGCCCATATTTTCTTCCCTTCTCTTGCATTGTCCTGGTTGCATTTATAGATGTACTCATCGTGCTCACTTGAATTGCATTGCCCCACTTGCTGCTTCCACAACCTGCCAAACTTGCATGCACATATTGCTCCGGCATTTACATGTGCATTTGACTTTGTTAGTTTGTAGTGCTGATCACTATACTCAATCACGAAAAGCTAAAACCACACATTATCCCACATGCCCAATAACACACTTTTTCTCTCTTACGTCACAAATGGTTGAGAGCATAGGATTTGCTTTTGAGTGATGGATGTATTGATTTGGAAAGATTCAAGAGGTGTTATTTTAGGAGTGGAAATAACAGGTTAGAATTTAGATGAGGGGGTCTACATAAAATCCCAAGTTCTAGGTCGGCCAAGCAAAGAAGAGGCTAAACATTTAAATCCTTGGTTGGACTTTAGCTTAATTAATTGAGAAAAAAAAATAATCTACGCTTGAAAATACTTGAAAATTTTTTGTTAGGATGCCTAAATGTGATATGAAAAGTTTCATGATTTTTTATAATTGTTTGATTTGTCCTATAAGTTTTAATAAAAGATTACAGGAATGCAGTCTGGACACTAGGTTTTTGTTTGAACTTTTGGAAGAGGTTTAGAGATTGGAAAAAATTAAGAAACCTCTTGTTAATGGTAAGAAATATTTGTCAGTTGGATCTAGAACTTTTCATAAGATTCCAAGATTGCTTAGGGTGACCAAAAAGACCAGGGAACCATACTAGGACTAATTTGCCCATGGCTTGGCTGAGAGCTCTATGAAAAGTTTTTGCTTACGATATTGCTGGATGAAATTATAGTGAAAATTTGGAGATGAAATAGAATGCTGAAGTAAGATTTCCTAGCAAGAGAAAACTAAAATATATAGATAAAATAAATCTATCACTCACCAAAACAATTAGGGTTGTGGAAGGTCACCAAATATCCCCTTGATTTGGCCGGCCGCCAAGCCTCCAAATCCTGGAAGATACTCCATTTTTTTCACATGTAACAACAATTAAGTTCGATACATATATGTATATGTATATATATATATATAAACAAAGTGATCATGAAATAAGCTAACATGTATATCTCTATTAGAACATAAGGGTCATGCAATAATATGATATGTTCCTAAACGAAAATGTTATACAATTATATTTAACATGTATATTTCATGACTAACGATATGTAGAATCATATAATTTGATTTAAGACAAAAAAAAAAGTAAGAATATATTTAAAAATAAGAAACATTATTGTAACTTAAAAGTCTAATTACTCACCTCAACCTTGTTTGTTCGTCTCACTTACTCTAGCTTCAGATCTTATAGGTTTAAATATTTTTCAAATCTTAATTGTTGTTATAAATTAATATTTCAATAACATTAAATTTAAATTAAATAAACAAAACTAAAATTTCAATTATCTTATACTATATCCTTCAATGTAATCCATCTCGGAAGGTACTTTCTGATTTAAATTTAATTTATTATTATCACTAGAAGAAAGGGTGAAGTAGAAGAAAGAAAAACTTGATTTATTGATATTAATCAATCTAATGCAAAACAGTTAGGCAAACCTATATATATTCTTGGCGAGGAAAAGTGGGGGTTTGGGGGAGGAGTCGCCCGTGAGAAGCTGTTGGTCACCGTAATCGAAATCCCGTCGCCCGCCTCAGAATGATGTTTCAATTTACATATAGATTTAAGTTTAAAATCAAATATGAAAATCAAACTGACCCCATGTTTTTCATAGTTTAAATGAAAGAGCTTTTCCGAGGGATAAACACAAGACATGATGATGAGGCTCGATCAAATAAACTAAGATATATATGACTTTCGTTTGGTCTGCGAAACCGTTTTATTTGTCGACAAATTCCCCTATTTAATAAGAAAAATTAAATAGGGTTTATTTTAAGCTGGGTTCGGAAAAGCTTCCTATAAGGGCAAGCTCCTATAGTTAATTATATCTTAAATGACCGAAATCACTTAAGAATACTCTCAATAAAAATCAGGAAAAATTAAATGACCGAAATCCTATGGATTGTTGTTTTAATTTCTAGGAAAGGAATGGTTTAGCTGGGGAAGATATGTTCTGCTGTTGAAGATGGCCGTGTTGCCCACCGCGCTAACTTCAAGCTCCTTATCGTGACGAGTTTAAGTTTTCTAGGTTGTCCAGTTATAATGTCAAATCAAACGACCCTATGGTAATAGTCCTGTAAACACCCTATATGAAAAGGAGGCATGTTTAAGGCTATGTAATATAAAATGTGCAGTACAGGACAAGCAGTAGAAAACACAATAAAAGAAACAGTGTACATGTCATACATAACAGTAGCAGGTATAGTAGAAGGAACGGTATAACATGCTATATAGAGTGGTGGCAAGTACAGTAAAAGGACCAGTATAACATGCTTCACAGAACAATAGCAAGTAGAAACAAGAATAATTTAACATTTTGTACATAACAGTAGCAGTTATAGTAGAAGGAACGGTATAACATGCTATATAGAGTGGTGGCAAGTACAGTAAAATGAACAGTATCACATCTTTTACAGAATAATAGCAAGTAGAAACAGGAATAATTTAACATGCTGTCCATAACAGTAGCAGGTATAGTAGAAAGAACAGTATAACATGTTGTACAGGGCAGTAGCAGGTATAAACAAGAATAATATAACATTCTGTAAATGTAAAACGAACCTGTACGCCCGTGGGCTCCACTATTTCTTAAATGTAGCAAGCTGAAATGTATTGCAAAAAAACGAAGTTTGGAAGAAAAGCCATCCAAGAAATCCGAAGAAGAGTGTAACGATGACTCATGGTCGAAAACTCGAGAAAATCAACGAGAAAAGACTCAAGTAAACATCTTCAAAAATCTCAGAGAAATCTTGAAGAAAAGAAAAGAAACATGAGTGCTTTGTCCAAAGCTTCGATAAAACAAAAAGTTCAGGTAAGGGGGACCGCAAACACTTGTGTAGGGCTAGGCTCAGATATATGTATATGTACTTGAGGGTCCACGAAGGCTACTCGGTCACCCGAATGTATAGAACCCGTCACTCGTCTAGAAGTGTGTCTTGAACCTCACCTAGAGGGCTACTTCCCAGCCTAAACAGATATTTGTCAGGTGGACAATCAATTTTAAAAATGTATTTTAAAATTTATGTTTTTGACATGCACATAGGGCTCAAAAAAAGAGATTATCAAATTTTATTTTATGACGAGAAATATATTTTTATTTTATTATTTTTTTTTGAAATAAGTTTTAACGATTTTTATTGTCCACAAGTCGATTACGCTGTCGGGCGTGGGACTGCCAACTATCTAAGGAGGTTCGAGCCAACTACCGCTAGACTTATGTCGGTGAAGGATACCGTTATCCTATTGTTCATCAAATACCTGGATCTTGATGTTATAGGATAGGACATCTTTATGCTCTATCTTCGGTGTGCCTTTATCATCACCACCCTACGCCCCAAAACAAACCACTTGCAACTTTGCTTGATGGTTTCACGTATAACAAAAGTATATACGTGGACACTTATGCGTCG